GTTTTTCAAAGTCTTCCAAACATATCCACTCTTTGGGATGAAAAAAGAGAGCTCCAAGTCTTTGGTTCATTCTCCCGATTACTTGGGTCCGAGAAGTCTTTCTTAAGCTTCGAGTAATAGTCATCCGATACACTCACTCGAACCATATCCATTTCCATCAACTCTTAGATGAAAAAGAGAGAGCTCCAAGTCTTTGGTTCACACTCCCGATTACTTGGGTCCGAGAAGTCTTTCTTAAGCTTCAAGTAATCGTCATTCGATTAACCTACTTGAACTACATCTTATCCTTTCATATTTGAGGTTGAAAAAGAGAGTGCTCCAAGTCTTTGGTTCACTCTCCCGATTACTTGGGTCCGAGAAGTCTTTCTTAAGCTTCAGGTAATCGTCACCTCTACCTAAACATCTGATACATCTAACCAATCTAATTTCTCGCCCCTGTGCGATTGACACTTCTCAAAACCTAAGTCCTCGCCCCCGTTGGATCTACAACTCAAACATACCTTACCCAGAACATTATTTAGTCCATTCTTCCGCGCATATGAACTCGTGCTTCAGCCTCCCATAGTGAGCAGACAAGCCAACGTTTAGCAGTTAGAATGTGACCTAAAGACTCGTTCCATTCAAATACAACCTTCGTTTCATGATGAAAAAGGGAGATAGCCAAGTCTTTGACTCGCTTTCCCGATTACTTGGGTCCGAGAAGTCTTTCTTAAGCTTCGAGTAATCGTCATCCGTACCATCTTCAAACCAATTCAACCCTTTTACCATAGTTGTTTGAACTACGGACGCTCTGATTCTTCATTCTCTTTTGAATGTAAGATACGTAGGCACAAGATTGCGATGATCTTGGCGCGCACATTTCCCCATAATTCCATATTTCCCTCCTTTTCCCGTAGTCCCACGAACTACGAATGCTCTGACTTTCCTATTGCACAAGGGAGTACGTAGGCACAAGGGCCCCAGTCCTTGGCGAACACTCTATAATAAAACCACCCCTTTTCCCCCTTTAGCAAGCAAATTCTTTAGAAGATAACAAACGTAGCTAACTTTCTCTCACGAATCGAATCAAGAGGTTCCCGTTGAGTACAACGGACATAAAGGGTGCTAATACCTTCCCTTTGCGTAACTGACTCCCGAACCTAGAATTTGGTTGCGATGACCAGGTTCTTATCTCTTCAAAGGTTTTATCGATATTTTCCTATTCCTTTCTTGGAATGAATAAATTTCGGTGGCGACTCTGTTCGAACATTTTTTCCGCGTCCATCGCGAGGATCGTATTTTTGAGGTATGACAGCTGGTCAACCACACATTTGAAACTTATATCTAAAAATAAACCTATGCAAAATTTGAAGACTATACTTAAACTTTAAATTTTTTTAGCATAAGGGTTAGGAGAATTTAACCTGCCACACCTAAATCATACCTGACACCCCCCCCCCCCCCCCCTCCAAAAACTGTCTTTAAAAAAATATGAAACAAGTAAAAAAAATTTAGATTACCGGAAATTTCATATTTTTATTGGAAAATTTGAAATTTCTGATAAAAAATGAAAATTTCCGAAAAAAATATGAAGAATACCGGAAATTTCAAAATTTTCGATAGTGAAAATTTTCAAAATTTTCGATTTTTTTTACGTTACAGGAAATTTCAAAATTCTCGATAGTGTAAAATATATTTCATTTTTTTTTCCAGAAATTTCAAAATTTCTTGTAAAAAAATTCCAAAATTCCAAAATTTCTTGTATATATCACGAAATTTCTAATATACAACTATAAATTTCATAATTTTCAGAAATTTTTGAAATGTAACAAAGTGATTTCGCCATAATTGAGGGGGTGTCTGGTCTAAGCCGGAGGTGTCAGGTTAAATCCTCAAGGGTTAGGTTGACAAAGCCTAATCGATACAGCTCGTTCTTACCCCAATTATAAGAACAAAATATGACTAGAGAATTTCTTTTTCCACCATATAGACTTCTTCCATACCATGTGAATTTTAACATATGTCTCTTGATTTCAGAGATATACCTCCAGACGCATCAAAACTCAAGTGAACGTTAACATATTCTGGAGATATATCTCCAGAACATTTTAGAGCTTAATACCGCACCAAACTCTTGTCTTCCCACACTTTTCATTTTCATTAAAACAAACTCTTCCACTCTCTCATTCTCAATATTCTCAATTTTTCACCAACTTAGATTTCATCAATGGAAGGCTTAAGGAAACATCAAGCATAATCCATTTCAGCATTCAACATCTTCCAAATCATAAATTTCGATATTTTTTTTTAGTTTTCGGTAATTATTCGATTTTATTTTGTAAACGAGTTAGAAACAATTGTTAGGTGTATAAATATTTAGAAATCACATGAAATGTAGTTTAGAGTAATTGTATACATTGTTTGTTGGCTAAAATGGATGATCAGGTTGTTATTTTTCACATTCCAAGTAGCAGACGACGATATTGTCACGACGTTTGGTTCTCAAAACATTTCGGAGACACATTTTCGAAAAATTTCAATGTTTCATATGCTTTAGGAAATTTCGGAGATACATCTCTGGAATAGTGTAAGAGATATTTCTGTAGAAATATCTCCGAAATTTCCTCAGTTTTTTTTCTTTTTTTATTTATAATTTTCTTGTTTGTGTTATATGCCTAATTTTACCTGCATAATTTTATCTTACAGACATAATGATTGACAGAGTCGACCGAGTGAGACTTGGACGAGTTTCCTAGCCCTTATTTGTTCGGTGGGAACAGAACCAGCAGGTTTCAGAGGTAGCATGTACATCTATTCAGGTAGAGGTGTCGACTTTTGGAGTGTAGTCTACTCCTGAGGCTTAGTCTACACCTCAGACCATTCCACCTTCATCTCAGGCCACTTCATTTTCATCTCAGGCCACTCCACCTTCTTCTTCTTCTTCCCGTATGAGACGAGATGCACCAGTTGACGATCACTTCTCCCATGCTCCCACAGGCGTCGAGATGCACCGGTCCCACCTCCTGCTGATTCGGTGCCACCTCTCTCGCTGATGATCCTGCTGATCTAGTGCCACCTCTGAAGGGTGAGGTTGCTTATGCCAAGCCAGAGGGATTCAGAGGGGGTCCATCTAATATCTCTCTACTTCCTATGTATCTAGACCACACTTCCAGACATATTTGGGATGGAGAGGTAGCATTACTCTGATTTTAGAATTATTTTTTATGTTAATTTAAATTGCTCACATTGATTATTTCTAATATTGATAATGACTAACATTGATTATTTCTGAAAAATCGAAGGTGCGTGATACCCAAAAGTTTCTGAACCATGAGAGGAATATTTTAGCATTACATCAGCCAGATGAGCAGTGGTTTCAGTCAGTTTGGACCGCTTCTGGGTTGAGTGACCTATGCATGATCAGTTACACTCTGGTCAACCATGAGATGCTTAATGCATTCATGGAGAGATAACATTTTGAGACGTCTTCTTTTCTTCTCCCGCGTGGTGAGATTTCTATCACACTAGACGATGTCTCATCTTTGTTGTGTCTTCTGATCAGGGGGAGATTTCCCCATCACGGTAGGATGACCAAAGACGAGGCGGTCGAGATGATGGTGGAGCGTCTGGAGGCTGATCCAGGGGACACGATTGAGGAGGTGGATAGGACCAGGGGTGCCCATGCTATGTTTGAGTTCTTAAAGAATAGATATGATGAGGAGATCATTGTTGCAGAGCAAGCTAATAGTGATGTCGAGCAAGTGGCCTTACACAGGACTCGTGCTTTGAGGGTATATTTTCTTTTTTTGGTTGACACTTGCATTTTTGTGGACACGAGTACCACCTATACAGACGCTGCATACCTCCGGTACTGGATGGCATTCTTGCGGAGACAAATGGGACACTATTATACCGCAGACATCGCGCGAGGACCGGGGGATCGATGGGTGAGGAGGCGGACCAGGCAGAGGAGGCACAATAGGTAGAGAAGAGGTTGTCAGGCACACCCAGTATAAGCCTGTTATTATTTTGATGTAGTATTATAGTTTGTACTTTTTTTCTAACATTGTTACTACTTTTTGGATTTCATAATGTACGACATTTTATTATTATATTGCTATATTATTTTGTATGTCTGTTATTTTATTCGAGATCGTGCTTCGTAATTCATCTGAAAACAAATACACAACGCGTTATAAAAAAAATTATTTTGATACACTTCGGAGATGTATCTCCGAAAAATTTCCGTAAATGCATCTCCAAAAATATTTAAATGAAAATGGGTTATAGTAGACATGCTCTGAGCGTTTAAGGTTTACAATAGTTTCGGAGATATATCTCCGAAATATATTAACGTTTATTCAAAAGTGAGATGCGTCCGAAAATATATCTCCGAAATCTTAAGACATAAGTAAAAATCTATACGGTATAAAAAATATATATAAGATAGAAAAAGAAGTTCTCTATGACTATATCTAAGAAAGCCTAAAGCCTAGGTTTTTCATGGTTCTCACAACACACACAATTGTTCACTTAAAAAATTTAACATTTTTTATTACTAACAAATAAAACTAATTCTCCTTTAAAATAAAATACAAATAAAAAAATCAAACAAGTTAATTACCTTTTTTACCTTAATTATTTCTAATTATTTATTAAAAAGAAAAAGTTAAATAAATGAATAATGAGTTAAAGATATTAAATTGAAAAGTAACAAAGTTTATAGATTATTTACTATAAAAAAAACACTCATTCAATCAATTTAATGATTTAGTGTACGAAGGACACTCATTCAATCAAAGAGTACAACATTTGAGAAAAAAACAGTCAAATGTAACAAGATCTGGAAAGAACAAAAACACAAACAGAATAAATAAGTTGAAGGAATTCTATTTCTGCATGACATTGACAACAGGAATGACACTTTGAAAATGTATACTTGGTACTTGTGAAATGGTCCAGCAGATCAAACCTTATGTTTTAAATTCCACTTTTCAAAATTAAACAAAAACGAAAATCATCTAAAACTCAAATGCTGACTCTGCAATACAAGTCCAAGTAGAAGCAGAAAGTAAACGCCTTGATTTCCAACCTAACACCAACTTATTAGTACCCAATTCCTCCACCCTATACCCATCATTAAATAAACCCAACAACAACTTTGCTTGGCAATGGTTACAGTAGCTTACGCTAACTCCCCTGAACCCTTCCGCATGCAACCACTCCCCCCAAGAACCCTTCTCTTGCCCCTCCTCTTCACCACTCATGTATAGTTGGGTCACTGAGCCCATTATCCTCGGGCCCATAAACACTTGATCTACCAAAGCCCGGGCCCATTTATTCATCGGAAATCCAGCCTCAAGCGAATCATACATCGCTGAATAACGGTGCAACGAATCCATGAACAAGCCCACAAAGCCTGCGTCATTGATGGGCCCAACCTCCTCCTCAACTAACGTCACAAGCTTCGATCTCAACTTCTTCGCACCGTTCAAAAACGAAGCAACGGAATCTGAAGCCCGGTAACTAAGATGAGGCAAATTCATCACACAGTTAAACACCAAAGCCTCACCACGAACAAGCTTCAACGAAGACGCTCTAAACGTTTCGTCTGATTCCAATCTACATTGATGAAAAGTAAACGGTTGCCCAACGGAAGCCGCAAACGCAGTTAATCTTTTTCCGGTTTCTTGAACGGTAGCTACGGATCTCCGTCCACTTCCACGCTCTTTGTTTCTAGATAATGCAGTGATTCGGAGATGAGGGCCCGGGATGCCGTCTTTCCGTGACGAAAGTGATTGAATGAGTGAAGCCCATTGGGCTCCTTCCATGATATCGTAGTCCACGATGTGAACTCTACGTTCATGTGTAACGGCTTCGAGGATGGCTTGGTTGGCCGTGAAGTGAGCGAACTTGACATAAGGGGACATGTCTTGAAGAAGCAGAAACGCCGAGAGTAGGTCAGTTTGGTGGGGTCCAGTGAGTGAGCAAAGCTTATGGAGGGTGGAGTTGTGTGAAGAGTCAGCGCCGTTTAGTAGAGTTTGTAGCGCGTCGGTGAAATACGTGGCGAGTCTCTCCATGTTTGTGCCGTGAGTTGAAGACACTAAGTCTTTGAGCCGAATCAATATCACTTGAGCCAGATGGTGGCTCTTGTTGGTGCCTGTTAGAGCCTCCGCCGCGGCCATAAGGAGGTGAACCAGACGGAGGCCTTTTCTGTCGTCGGTGTCGGTGTCTGTTATGGAATTTGAGTTGGATCCGTTTCCGATGCATGATGATTTTTCTTCTTCCTCGTCCTGGGCAATAGGGTTGATTAGATTTGGATCAACGGTTGTGATTTCATGGTTGGTGAGGGAATCAATGAAGTCGTGGAAGTGATCTTGGTTGGCTGTGAAGAAATCCAAATCGAGGAGAGGGGACCAGGTGTTGTTTAAGTCATCGTCTTCGGAAGTGGGTGTGGTTGTGCTGTGGGTGTAATTGGAAAAGTGTAGGAAATCGGGGACTACGTCCATATCCATGATCATGTCTTTGTCCGTGTTCATGATCGTTACATATAGGTGTTACTCGGAGATGTAAGAACGGAGGGAATTATTTAGTGTAGCACCGACTTGTATCGTACAGCCTTATGCGAAATGTGATTTATAGAGGCTGGGGATATATAGAAAGAGAGAAAAGAAAGAGAGCTTAAAAAAAACAAGTAAATTTTCTACTGTATTAGAAAATTATATAACTTAATTACAACTATTGTTATATTTGAATTCACTTATTTTTTTTATAAGATGATAAAATTTTTACCCATATAACTACCTTTTATCTTTATATTTTTCAAAATAACCAACTTTTTTAAAAAAAAATTCAAAATACCCTACTTTCAAAAAAAAAAAAAGCGTTGAAGGGAGGCGCAATTGAGTATGGCAACACCTTTATGAATAAGGAGGGGACGTCGTTTGTGTTGGAGTCACCCTTATGAATTAGGAGGGATCGACATCCTATTTGGAGTTGTCATTTACTTTGGAACCCCCTTATTTCGTGATAAATTATTTAATTTTTAGTAATTCATATATTATATAATATTATAATATTTATTTGAAATTTTCTTGTATAAATAGATGTCATGACTTGTATATTCATTCTTTCACACTTAAATTGTCATTGTTTCTTACAAATTTAGTAGAGTGAATCATGTATCTTAGAAGATATAAGCATGTCATTTTATCAAGAACCAAACCTCGGATAAGGATGTTGTTTTGGAACATCTAAAGTTTAGAGCAACTACGAAGGAATTTGAATCGCTGGTTAGAAGGAGACATTCCAGATGATGAAAGAATGAGAAGTATTGAAAGACTTGTTTCGTACTTCTCGATTGCAGATGGCAATATACGACGTGAGTGGGTGCAAATTAAAGACGACAACGAGGTTAGGTCTATGATGTTTGGAACTGATGATATTACTTTGATTGTTGTTATATCATCAGTTCCAAAGTAATATCATCAGTTTCAATCATCAGTTTCAAACATCATAGACCTAACGTCGTTGTCATCTTTAATTCGCACCTACTCATGCTGTATATTGTCATCTGCAATCAAGAAGTACCAAACAAGTCTTTCAATATTTCTAATTCTTTCACCATTTGAAATGTCTCTTCTAACCAGCGATTCAAATTCTTTCGTAGTTGCTCTAAACTTTGAATGTTCCAAAACAACATCCTTATCGGAGGCTTGGTTCTTGAGAAAATGACATGCCCATATCTTCTAAGACACATGATTCACTTTGCTAAATTTATAAGAAACAATTACAATTTAAGTGTGAAAAAATATACAAGTCATGACATCTATTTATACAAGAAAAATTTCAAATAAAATAATAATAAATATTATAATATTATATAATATATGAATTACTAAAAATTAAATAATTTATCACGAAATAATGGGGGCTCCAAAGCAAATGACACCTTCTCCTAATTACATAAGAGTGACTCCAAATAGGATGACGCCCTCTCCCAATTCATAAGGGTGACTCCAACACAAACGACGCCCCCTCCTTATTCATAAGGGTGTCGTCAAACCCAATGGCGCGTCCCTTCAACGCATGTATTTTTTTGAAAGTAGGATATTTTGAAAAAAAATAATTAAAAAGATTGTTATTTTGAAAAATATAAGAGTAAAAGGTGGTTATATAGGCAAAATTTTCTAAGATGTTAGCTAAGATAATATGTAAATTGTTGAGACATACTAGTTACATTATTTTTTTTATTAGTTATATTTTCAGAAAGATTTAGTTATATCTGAAATCGGTTGCTTCTAAGGTGAGGGGGCAATTAAGTCCCTCACTAATGTACCACTAATAATATATCGTTGGATACTACTAAGGAAAATTCATGATTCAAATTTGTTAAAAACATATACATTACATTCATGTCTCCCCACCCAAGTCTTACCTTTTTTTTAAAGGGTTTCTCTTGTTATTTCATTAATTGTTTTTCTCTGCAATATGTACCACATCATCTTCTTCCAAATTCTATAAGAAAAATTGCAGTGGTTTTTGGAATGTTTTTCTTTTTTCCATTTTGTGAGACCTGTGTTTTCTTTTAAGTTTTTTTTCATTTTAATTTCAAATTTTCTTTACAATGTTATGTATGTTTTCACAAAGGAAAGAGGGGAAAAAGATATGGAGGGTAAGAGAAGGAATGAAGAGAGAAAGAACACACATGTGTTTCTATGATGGGATGGAATGAGATTGAACCTCCATTAGTGACAGGTTGTGGTGCTGCTAATCGCGGTGGTTTGGTGCATGTAATTATTTTTCCTCTAAATATGGTCATTCTTCACATCACTACTAATTCATAACCAAGTTTCACTTAAAATTCATCTTTTTGATTCTCTCAATATTCCTCCCTAAATCTCTATCTCATCAGTGTTATGCTTACATGTTCATAAGAATTCTCATACAGTGTCCTGCTCACATCTCGTGATTTTTTGATGAAGTTTGAAATAAAAGACATCAAAATTGAAAAGACAAAAACCTAAATAACATAAAAAGCTATTTTTATTTCAACTTTCAAGAAGCAAATTGAAAAATAAATTTGCTTCGAAATTCTTAATCTCATGTGTACATTGAAGTTTGTTTTTGGAAATAAAAAATAAGGATCGAGTGGGTTAAGTAGTACGTGTTACTGCTTTGTTATTGAAAAATCTGAACGCTTAAATATTTCTAATAAATCTAATGGTTTATTATTAGTGGTACACTAGTGAAGGATATGTTTGCTACCTCACCTTAGACGTTGCCATCTGAAATGTATTGCCTTTTTGTTTTAATTATGTTTGACTTTATTGGAGTTAGATTCGATTTTTTTGGGATTTATTTCGGAAATTCTTATTGCTCTTCTAGTTGGATTGATCTCTAAATAATGAAAGAGTAGGGTTTAATATAGAAGAAACACGAGAATTTAAGATGATACATTCAATTAGATCTGAAATCTATTTAATGTGTATGAAAAGATGACATTGTTCTTGTAAATTTATTTTCAAAAATTACGAAAATCACAGTCCAACAGCGACAATTTCAAATTTGTTGAGCGATATCGGAAATTTCGTGCAGCTATCAAAAATTTCAAAAACAATGAGTTTTTATACCGAGTTTTTCAAAATTTCTGATATTTTGTATTGAAAATATCAACATTTCAAGTATTTACATTGAAATATATACCGAAAATTGCAAAATTTTTTGTGTTTACATTGAAATCTATACAGGAAATTTCAAATTTCAAAATTTTTAATAGTTATAAAAATCTGGTTTTGTACCGGAAATTATAAAATTTCTAGTATATTCCATGATTTTGTATCATAAATGTTGGAATTTCCGGTATGTGCACAAACTTTGTTTTGCACCAGAAATTTTGAAATTTCCGGTAGTTTGACACTATTTTTTTTTATTTTTTCTTCTGTTGTAGTGAAATACAGAGGCCGGTGTTAGTTCCATGATTCTATGATTGTTCATGGTTCTATGATTGGCTAAATTTTGGTAAAATATGATCCTGCACTGATGTTAGGCAAGATGTTATAACATCTCCATCTGTTGTGGTGACAGAGCTGCTGTCATGTGTTTTAACCAAGATGTCAAGACAGATGTCGTGACATCCATCTTCAGTGGTGACAGAACTGTTGTCATGTATTTTAATCAAGATGTCAAGACATATGTCGTGACATCTTTGTCTGGTACAGCAGGAGCTGTTATTTTATATCTCTTGACAGAGGTGTTTTGGTTTATGAGATCCTGTTGGATATACCTCATCAGTATGTGCAGGTCAAAGAGACTTATTAGGAACAAAGTGCAGATTTAATTGGTGTTCATAAAAAGGATCTTTGAGACTTTTTAGGAAACTATAATATATTTGTTTCTACTGTTATGAAGAAGTTTCTGTAGGAGTGTACTGCAGGGTAAGTTTGGTTAGCTAATAACAGAGTGTATTGGATGTCATGCTGAATGTTATAACATCAGGTAGCTGCCAGCAAGGGCGCTGTTTGTTTTTCTGTTATGGTTCCTGATTTATATCAGGCTAGAATTCAGGAAACCTGTTATGATTCCTTAGTTATCTCAGGAGAGATTCTAGGCAGTGCTGAGCATAACATGAAACGCATATGACCTATTTGTTAGCAGATTGAATAGTGAAAATTGGTTTTAACTTAGTTAAACCTAATTTCTGCTGCTATTTATGAAGATTGAAATCTTCTCTTTCGACCGTGTTTTTTTGACCAACCCAAACCCAGTCTGCATTACTATTTAAGGAGGCGCAGAAGCAAGGAAAAGCAAGAACTCACAACAAGAAAAACTTGAGTGTAAACTATGGGTTTAGGGTTTTGAGAGTCTTTTGTATGTGACTTTGTAAGTCACCCTTTGTATCTTTGGATGCATAGTGGTAGACATGTTTAGGCTGTTATGTGTTAATTATTAAGTGTTCACTTGAAGCTTTTAAGCAAGAGTGTATTGTTCTTGATTGAAGCTGTTAAACAAAATCAAGTATTGTGACTTTGAAAAGTGTCTTCTAAAGTCTCTCTTTTTGTATTGAATTGTTTATCACTGTTGTGATTGTGGGGAGTGAGAGGTGTCTATTGTCTAGCGTGTTCTAGGCAGAATTTGCATTGGGTAGAGATTAAGTGAGGAGTTGTAAACTGGGAGTTTAACTCTGAATTAATTATGCTAATAGTGGATTTCCTTCCTGGCTTGGTAGCCCCCAGATGTAGGTGATGTTGCACCGAACTGGGTTAACAATTCATTGTGCTATTTATCTTTCAGCATTTATAACTCTGCACAATTTAAATGGTTAGATAAATAGTTTTGTCAGTCTGCAGATGTTACAACAGATGTCATGACATTGTTAATTTTAAAGGAATTTAAAATGGTCATGCTCTATCCTTGTTCTGTTTTAGTAGAGATCAATGTTCTTTGCATCTTGTCGCTACTGCGAAAAAAGGTGTCGGCAATGACAGAAAAGTCGCAACCGTTTGTTATTTATCCCAACAAGAGGGAAAGGAAACGATCA